TCTATGATTCTGTGATTGTATTTTACTATTTTCAGGACAGTTTTTGAATATTTCATGTTTTCACTGAGTAACAGTGAATTTCAATGAGTGCTAGATTTTTCAGCATTCAGGTTGATAGGGTTGAGAATTTAGCTGCAGTTATATGTACTTAGAAGCTTGTATCATGTAAATTTAATTGTAATTACTTAAGTATGTCTCAGTCTATTTCATTATCAATTGTAGTTTAGCTATGTAAAATTAATTCCTTGCAGCTTTTAGAAATATTTTATTAGTGTATCTTCAGCTTGTATCATGTAAATTTAATTGTAATTACTTAAGTATGTCTCAGTCTATTTCATCATCAATTGTAGTTTAACTATGTAAAATTAAGTTCCTTGCAGCTTTCAGAAATATTTTATTAGTGTATCTTCATGGCTTATGAGTGATTCTCTGTCTGGATACATTTCCATTTCTAGTTGTATTTTTGTGGTTTGCTTTCTTAAGTCATTTCATATGAATTGGTTGCACGGTATTTTGCTTTTACAGCAGGGACTACTTTGATCACATTGTCAACCAACAAACTCAGAATAGCGGACTTAAGATGCAAATGCTTTTCTATGCAGCTAAAGACTTTTTCCTGTTTTGATTTTATTTTATTGTTTTATTTTTTTTAATAGGCCCTTGGACTTAGGAGGGATGACACGTTTTCAGTCACAATGCTCGGACACTGCATAGAAATGTATATTGGTGATTCTGAAGCTTACATTGGTAAGTCATTGAATCCTTGGAAGAGAGATCTTGCATCAAAAAAAGACTGTCTACTGTCATCCTGCTTTTCCAGCAGATTTTTCACACAATTGAAGCAGATGTTTCTTCTCAATGTTGTCAGTTAATACATCTGGAAGAACGATGCAGCTGTGTTAAATACCTTGCATGCATCATGGGTTGTATCAACTTTAAACAATGAAGAAACCCTCATAGAAAGCTGGGAAGGGAATTGGCAGCTGCTTCTAGCAATAGACTTTGAATCTGAATTTTACTTTGTGTGTGTGTGTGTAGGTAGGTAGTAGGCTGCTAGATTTTTGTCAGACCAACACTTAAACTTTAGTTATTAAGTGTTGACAACACCTTGTTCTGAATACACAGAGAACCAGAGTCGTTTCTGGATATTGTTTCGTGATATGTTTTGGGAATGTTTGTTAGGGATAAACTGTGTTTGTCTATTTTCCTAGGAACAGAGATCAAAGACAAACTAAGATGTTATGACTTTGATGTACACACAATGAAGACCTTAAAGAACATTATTTCACCTGCCTGGGATTTCAGAGAATTTGACATAGAAAGACAGACTCTGGATGAGAGTGGTATAGTAACGTTAGAGACATCACATCAAAGGACAAATACTGATACCAGCCGTCCGTTGGAAGAAACATTTGAGATAGAAATGAATGAAAGCGATATGATGCTAGAAACATCAATGTCAGACCACAGTACATGACCATAAATTCTGATAGTGGGCACATTTTGTCTAAGTATTTGTTTTAGTGTTTTTGTTACGGTGTTATACTTTCAGGAATTTGCTATTTTTATATGAATTCATACTACTATGCTGTATTTAACACCACAGAAATAATGCTTGCCTTAAGGATGATTAAAAAATACATGAGGGACTATTTCCAATTTTATTATTTCTACAAAGTTAATCATATGTGATAAAGTAAAAACAAATAAATAAATGCACATTATGTTTTTAAAACTGTTTACTGATCCTTGTGTCTGCCATCAGTAAGACTGTGAAGGTTTAAAAATAATACCTAACATGGAAGAGTTTACAGTATTGCCAAATGGATTAGCCAAGGTCTAACACAGTATTATTGTAGCTTCTGAGTTTTCATCCCGTCTGTGAGGAATGCTTTCTTAGTAAATAGACCAAAAAATCCATGAGGTTTTACACTTACTACTTCATAAGTATGTATTTCTTCACAGTGTGATTTCAGTGGATTCCCATCACTTGACTCTAATTGGACGTGCATTAAATTGATGACAAAGCATGTTACTTTGTTATGCCTTCTCTGAATTATTGTTGGCTTCTTTGTTGTTATTCTATATTGTGCTACTGAGAGGTCGTGTGAGAACTGTTTCTGGTAAGCTGATGGGACAACAATATGAATGGTGAAAATACCGAGGTAAATTGGTGTTTCCTGCAATGAATGATACCTGAACTATTTTTCAGTAGTGTAATAATAAAGTTGTAAGCCACAGTGTACTTCTGTAGAAAATGCAGTCATTCTCTTTACACACAGTTGTTTTGCCAAGGCAAAGGATAAACTGAATAATATAAAACTTTTACAAGTCTCTAGAGTGGTGTTTTTAAATGCCATTGGCTCACTGAAAAACAATGAATTAAAGCATATGTTTTTGTAGAGAAGCAATGATTTGTCCATCCACTGAACAGAATTGGGTCTGTCTGCCTTCATAGTATGAATGTTGAATGTATTTTGTGTAAATAGCTCCTTTCCCTTTGTGCCTGTTTCATCTATGTCACTACGGTGGGCTTAAAATTAAAAACATAATGCTACAAGCTGTCATAATTTTTTCTTCCGTGACTTCTTGCTGGATTTTGACATTTAATGTTAAGAAAAGATTCTCTGAGGTTTAATAGTCCAGGCTTCAGTAATAAGTATTTCAGTGCTCAAAAGCTAGCTTTTTCTTTTTCTGTAGATAAGGATTTTTCATTAAGTTTCAAAAAAAAAAAAAAAAACAACACAAAAAAAGGCTAATTTATCTTTTAGCAAAATAGAATGACTGGTCTAAAATACAATTTTTATACCGTATTTCACTACATTCGTGTTGGCATTTAAACAATCATTTTTCAGTTCTATCCTTAGCACAAAATATACGTGTGATTTTTCTTTGTACAATTTTCATCTGCTTTACTGGGACATGGTTTAAAAAACAAGTGGCATACTAGTGCAAGTCATTAAATATTTCCTATACTAAATTTTATTGATGCTTTTCATAAATAAGAAGAGACAAGGGATGAACCCAAGTATATACATATATATTGAAATCTTCCTTTTTTCTTGTTTTTTGGTAGTCTATCTTATTTCATTAGTAGTCTTGATATGATACAAATGATAATACATTTGTTTATTTTTAATCTACAGTAGGTAAATTTAAGATTCTAGTCATGCATCCCGGAAAGGAGTTTCTACATACATGTTGGCTAAATACTCCAGCAAATCTGGCCTCTTGCTAATGTCAGCAGTGGATGTCTGTGGATTTTTTCTTTTTTTCCTATGTTGCTGCTGTTTTCATTGACTAAGTAGTCTTAAAAATTGATAATATTTGGTATCAGTTCTGATCTGATGGTGTGTTGGCTCTGATGGCAATCCTGCTTAGTTGTAGTCCTCCACTGCTGAGAGCAATTGGCTTGCCCCTTAGCCACTTCCAGAGCTGTTATAATACAAATTTGTATGCTTAGGGTGTAAATCAGGTATGGGATCTGGCCTAGCACTTAAAAAGCTTTTCTCTGTCTGATCTCTCAGGTTGAAAAATTGTGAACTGCTGTGTAAAAGTCATCAGTGGGGCTGAGTGGAGAGAAAAGGGAGGGTACAGAAAACTGCTCTTGCTCTAAAGGCAGTGTGTCATGACCCTTCAATTCTGCAGCTATCTGCTGAAGTTTTTTGGCTGGTTGTTGCTAGCCCTTCTTTATTGCCACTAAAAGTTACCTAGAAGGAAACATTTTCAAAATGTCTTAGACTGTGAATGATTTTTCCTGGGCAACACCAGAGAAATTCTTGATGAAGCCTGGTTTGGCTTCCAGTTCTTCAGGTAGATACAATTAGGTTAGTGCTTGTTAAGCTAATGTTGTGCATGCCTCAGAGAGGACTTCAGGAAAAGCTTCTTTCCTTATTTCTGTTCGAAATCTTCATCTTTGCACCTGCATCTCCTGCTGTGCCTCCCAGTACCTGTCCTGCTCCAGCCTATGACTAACATGCCTGCTAAAGCAACGTCTTACACATAACTGCTCTCTCGCAATCCTAACCCACTGTGGGGGAACACTGCTGTTGTCTTCAAGGTTTTCATGATTTGAAAACTCATGGACACAGGACTTGCAAGCTGATGCCAGAAACAACTGTCCCTTTCCTCATGGTGTGGCATCCCCAGCACCTGGCTAGCTTTCAGCCCTAGCCCACCAGGCCAAAGGGGAATGGTTTGAAACTGAGATTAGATGTCAGGGGTACATTTCTCAGCGAGAGGGTAGTGAGGCAGTGGCACAGCTGCCCAGAGAAGCTGTGGTGCCTCATCCCTGGAGGTGGTCAAGGGCAGGTAGAGTGCGACTCTGTGCAGCCTGAGTTGGGGGCAGCCCACGGCAGGCTCGGCTTTGAGGTTCCTTCAAACCCAAACCGTTCTGTGATTCAATGACTGCTGCTCCCATCCTGCCACAGGAGACGCGGCTGAGGCTGTGGCAGGGAGGGCAGAGCCAAGTGTCCGCTGTCTACAAGGCAATTGGGCTCGCGGACCACGATAGGACGGTTCTTCAATTGCCCTTTCCATGCACACAATGAAGGCCCTGCGGGATTCCTGAAGGCACCTCTCCTCAGAACATCCAGCAGAGAGGACGGGGATGAGAACAACGACGGCGATGCACAAGGACGAGCACAGCCCCGCCGTCGCTACTCCGGAGGCGGAGGAACTCCCCTCGCCCCTCAGCCAAATCTCGCGAGATTCCGCCCGGCAACTGGGCAGTTCTCGCGAGGTTTCCGCCTCGCTGCGGGCGGCGGCTCCATGCGGTCGGAGCGGGAGCCTGGGCTGGGACCGACGAGGGGCGGCGGCTGCGGCCGCGATAAGCGACCCATGGAGGTTCCCCTGGGGCGGGAGTCTCCGCGCCGGGAGCCGGACACCGCTCCCAACCCGCCGCCGTCCCCGGCCCCACCGCTGCCCTCGGCGCCGGTTAAACTGCGAGATGAGAAAAAAACGGCGCTGAGCAAAGTGAGGGGTGCGGGGCTGGGGGTGGCGGGGTGGGGTGGGGGCGCGTAACCGCCGCGCTCGTGGCGGGATGCGGCTGCGGGCGCTGAGGCACCGCGGCACCGTGTGGGGAGCGCTGCCTTCCCCCGTGCCGCATCGGGAAAGCGGCGCCGCGGATGTCCTGTGTGCGGTGTGCTGGGCTGCCGGGTGCCGCCCAGCGCCGATCCTCCAAGGGACACCGAGGCTGAGGCTGCAGCCGCAGCTCCCAGGAGGGGCTTTTAGAAGAGGACCGGCGCGATCAGTTCGGTCTTTTTGGTGCTATTCAGATGGAAGATAACTCTCCCTTTTATCTACGCAGGTGGTTATTCGACGGCTCCCTCCTTGTCTAACCAAGGAGCAGCTGGAGGAGCAGCTACACCCTCTCCCTGCTCATGATTATTTTGAGTTTTGCACTGCTGATCCCAGGTGAGGATGAGCTGTCCGTGTAGGATGTCAGGTGCTTAAAGCATAATTAAGGCAGTTTGGACACTAAATTACTTATTTTGTCCAGGGAGCCCATTTGTAAGTTACATAAAATATTTGGATATATATATTTGCAGAGATGATACATTCCTGCCTCTTCCATATGTACTCAACGGTTTTAAAACAATTTTTTTTGCGTGCAAATAGAGCATAGTTTTGTTTGAAACCATCACCCTGCTTTTAATTTTAATTAGTAAAAATTGTTGTTAATTGGCTATGATAAAGACAACTGAGGGGAAATATCACCAAATTTTTCATGAGTGCCATTCGACCTCAATTTCTTAATTTGCTTATGTATTCCTGTCTTTATTTCATACCACTTTTTTTTCAAGTAGTCAACTTTTATTCATTAACATACTCAGTATCACAGTGGTAAAATACCATTCCCTTTTGAACAGAACAATTTCTAGATGAATTTAACCATGGAAGTAACCAAAGCATCCTATCTGCTACATCTCCTTGTGCTCAGAATAACTAAAGGATGTGATTCATCTTGCCCAGCTTAGCCTGTCTTGGTGTGCGGTGAATCATCCTCCATAGGCGTACATATTTATATATGTACATATATACATGTTCTCTCAGAGTCAATTCCACAAAAAGAAACCAATATCTGTTTAGTGGCAGTTTGGTGCTTGCTTTCTCCAAAGAGTGTCTTCATCCTAACTGCACAAATGCCAGGAACCAGTTCAAAAATGAAAATTTTAACTTTCCAAAGCAGTTGTTGGCATAAGAATCTAGTTTATCACCAGTCTTCTGAAAGATAAGCAACAGGCAACAGTTGGCTTTCTATGACTATTTGTTGTTTTACTGGCCCAGCATCATGTTGCCCATCCCAGGTCATGTTTTCTATACATGGTCTTTTTGTCTTCCACTGATTCCACTCTTTCTAGATCTTGTACCAGGCACATAGTAGCAACCAATACAGGAGGTTGAGTGGCAGTGAATTCATAGAGATTAAATGCTACCCAACGAAAGAATGGCTTGGAGAAGCTACGCAGAGAGGAGGACACTTTTTGGAAGGAGAGTGAGGCATACAAATGGACAGGTTATGATTCAGAAGCAGACAAGTTTGTCCTTAAGTGCTGTTGGATCACATTTTAGCCCCATGTGGGGATTCCAGAGAACAGAAATTTGTAAGAGTTCATTCAGTTTTCTCCAGCTGTGGAATACAGACATAATACTTTTTCACTCTTAAGCTGTGCAACTTTGTGTTTGAGAACAATGTCAGAAATGGAGGTTCAGAATGGTTCAGAAGCCAAATACTTAACTATACAAGTATTAATCCATGAAGATCTATTAAACACAAGGGTGTGAGTTCTGAATTACAAAGTCCCTGGGCTGCAAATGGCTGAAATGATGCAGCAGGTGAAGTGTCACTTTGTAGTTTCCTCTTATTTATACATTTCCTCTAAGCATCCTCTACCAGTTGTGCTCAGAGAGGACTTACACTTTTTTCTTACCAAGGTCATCTCACCCCACAGGACAGAACAAACATTTGTGGTCTACCCATGTGTTTTTGTAAGATACGCATCCATATATCAAGTCTGGTTTTACTGTTCTTGTGATAAAGGTTACTTGTAATTTTATAATGTCCTGTTATTATAACCAAACTGTAAAACTTTTAACAATTTCATACAACTCAGATGTCATTATTGTGTAACACTGTTACATCCATTTCAGTAAAATCATTTCACAAAGTTTGACTCTTGTGTTGTAATTCATTCATTTTTTCTGATGCATTTGATTCACTGCATTAAGTTCCGTTTTCTCTCTTGTACATTGGTATCAAAATACAAGCAAAGCAGTGTGTTTGTCACTGATTCTGTGGCCTTCAGGAGGGTTTGATAAGCATGCTACCTGTAGTTGACAATGAAGAGGCTGCCTACTTGGTGGTCCGGTCTTGTTCTCAGGTGCCAAAAAAATAACTACATCTTTTAGATATTCTTTCAAGGCTTGCGTGTTTGTGAGCCTTCTAAAACTACAGTGCAGCAGTTGAGCTCTGGTGCTGCAGGACTTGGGTCATCCCTCAAGACTGGCAGTGACTGCAGTACTCGCTAAAAATGTTGTAAGAGTAAAGAGATGAGAACAGGAGCTTTGCTTCTATGGAAGCCAGTCAAGTAGTTGATGCCTTACCTTGTATCTAAGACAGAATCTTGCAAACAACACTCCTCCTCTGCCATCATAGGTGCTTCCCCATGTTTTGTGGAGGATTATTGTAGGCAAACAGCATTCCTACTGTGGGATGGCAGCGTGCACGCAGGAACTGAAGGACAGCACCTTTAAGGGAATCACCTGTGGTGTGATAAAGGAGGGAGTGGTTCTTGGTTGGTCACGCGGTGTTGCTGATTCTTTGCTGCCAGACAAATTGTGCTTGTTTTCTATCTGTAAAAAGGGAAAGCTCAGTTCATTAAAAATTACAGTACCATCCACTGTGTGAATGGCAATAGGTAGAGACAATGATGAAGGCCAGTGGATTTTAGCTTGGTGTACAAAGAGTTACCAAGTTTGATCCAAAATTATGCTTAAACGCATGGCTGGATGGAGGAGTTTACAGGGCACTCCAAAATCTATATGTTGATTTTATATATGTATTTAATATATGTATGTTAATGCATGTACATGTATATATGTACGTGCACCACAAATGATAAGTTGGTAAATATTTTAACTAGAATGTGATGGCTGTCTTTATGTTACTGTTTATATTTTACATAACAACCTTGCTGTCTCTTCTTAGAAAATGGTGCTAAAAGATAAGAAAAAGAAAGCTTTTAGAACATTTTTGTTGTAGAAATTGTCGTAAAAGTTTAAAGGGATGTTGTAGTTAGTATTATAAAAATGCCCATTACCTAAAAGATTGAATATCCTGCAGCACACAACAGAAAGCAAAGAAACTGTGTGTTGAAGTGAAGACATGTGAATAGTCAGACTCGTCTGGGTTATTTCCATAGAAATTCCTGTAATTAATATCACAGAGATGCCAGCATCATGTGCAGTGCATCTGTCCAAAATATGATGTGGATGGAAAGCAGCTTTACAGAAAGTAAACATGGGTAAAGAGAACCAGCTGTGTGATGGTAAAACTAGCCATGCAATCTCAAAACTGAACTTCAAATCCCAGGAGGTATCTGTGCTGGCAGATGATTGAGAAAAGGAGGAGACGTGCAGGGCCCGGGGTCCCTTTTGTAGAGCAGTGCCTGGGGAACTCGTGTGGAAGGCAAAGCCCTGCAGAGCAAAAGCTGTGTTTTCTCCAATGTCTTCAGAGAGCTGGTCTGTACCTTCCTGTGAGAGGATGGCAGCCACAGTGGCCTCCCAGCCGTGTGAAGCATGTGCTTGCTGCTGCTCAGCAGCACTGCTGAGTTCTTAGAGGATGGATAAATGGCGAGAGAATCTGGAGCGGGCAGCTGCAGTTGGAAGGTCCCTGAAACCAGGCTGCTATTAGGCATTTCTGATCTGCTAGGTTTAGTCAGCTTCCCATTTGGAAGTTGAGTTTCATGCATTCTTTTTTTCAGATGCACTGCTGCTGTTGGATAAAAAGCTTGAAGGGATCCGAAACGCAGATCAGGCTGTTATGTAACTGATATCCCACTCGCGTTTGAGGACGGGCTCTTTATTTGTAGAAGTGGCTGCATCAGAGGAGGAACGTGTACTTTCTAAGCATTGTCACAGCTATTTGTCTGTCGCCTTCTACCCTGATACATGGCAACAGTAATGGAGAGAGAATCCAATTTGATTGTGCTACTGTGCATACCAATATCACACTGTAGACAAGCATGCTTTAGTATGTTTGTATGTTTCTGCTGATGTGAAGTTCTTGAAGACTTAAAATGTATCTCAATTACGTTGGATCCCTTCTTTTTGAAGACAAAGTCTAAATCCTTGCTTTCCAGGGATTGTGTCCAGGGAACATTTACATGTTCCAGATGCACATTGTTCTCTTACTAATACATGTTTCTCTGTTTGAAAGATACTTTGATATCAAAGTCTAAGCAAAAAACGTTGGAAAAATTCTATGTTGGAAAAGATAATATTTCCGAATCAGTTGGGAAATAGATGGATGGTGTTGGTGTGCAAGCTGAAGGAAATAGTGAAGAAAATTGTATTTTCTTTTTTTTTTTCATGAGTCTTATGTGTCCAACTGTGAGTAATAAGTTACTGCAGAAGAAGAAAATCTATGGCCAAGCAGTTCTGTGCACCGAGCCAGAGAAGTAGCTTTTTTCAGTTAGTTTTGTGGAAACTGAGGGCTGATAAAGCACTGCAGTGGTCGTTAAATTAGGAACTCAAACTCAGGACTTCTCAATCTTAGATAGCAATGGTAGCAGAGGACTGGAGCACCTTCTGTATGAGAACAGTCTGGGACAGCTGGAGTCCTTCATCCTAGAGAAGAGAGGGCTCCAGGGGGAGCCTTATAGTGGCCTTCCAGTACCTGAAGTGGCCTACAGGAAAGCTGGGAGGCACATTTTATAAGGGCATGTAGTGACAGGACAAGGGGAAATGGCTTTAAACTGGAAGAGAGTAGATTTAGACCAGATATGAGGAAGGAGTTCTTTACAGTGAGGCTGGTGAGACACTGGAACAGGTTGCCCAGTGAGGCTGTGGATGCACCCTCCCTGGAAGCATTCAAGGCCAGGCTGGATGGGGCTGTGAGCAACCTGGTCTTGAGGGAGGTGTCCCTGCCTACAGCAGGGGGTTGGAGCCAGGTGATCTTAAAGATCCCTTCCACCTCAAAGCATTCTATGATTAGGCTGCTAACCCTGAAGGTTATTTTTGCTTGGTGAATCTTCAGTACTTCTAGTGTATAACCATATCAATCTCCAGTTTCAGGTCTCTTACACTAAAGAACATTTGGAGTGTAAGATAGGAATAGTATTGTTGAAGTGACAGAGGTTTGTTCCTTCCTGGGAGCCATCACTTACCAGACTTCTTTGCTTATGCAGCAGCTACACAGCACAGAGGCACTTCTTCCAGCACAACTATGAAGTGTCACAGTAGACTTTCCTTCTTTGCAGACACTTGCAACTCTTACTGTTTTCTAATGAGTTTTCTAATATTATTTTTTAACAGTATATACTGTTAAAAATCATGAAAGCTGTTAAATTTCATCCTTTTTTTTACTTGCTTTGAAAACACTGAGATGGAAGCTGGCTTGTTTCAGCTGCACTGCATGTTGCTAATGACTCCACACACTCCTGGAGATGCCTTGTGTTTCATGTGCAGACCGGAGGTTTGCAAATCTGATAACATAGAACTCTGCAGGGTGTGTGGAAGAACTCCATGGCAAAGCACAGCCATATGTACCCATGCTCATTTGGTTGAGCTGTCTAGATGTTTCCTGCGAGCAGACTGTACCACCTGTGTGAGCTGTGCTGGATAAGGAAGCATGCTCTGTGTAGCATCTTTCAGCACTGCTTTGTGTCAGCAGCATAGCACTAGCTGTGCCCAGTCAGGCATTTCTGTGGTTGCCTCCCTTCTTGGAGATCTTCTGAAGCCCCATGGCCCTGGGCACCCTGCTCTGAGTGGCCCTGCTGGAGCAGGGGTTGGACCACAGGGACCCAGAGGGTCCCTGCCAGCCTGAGCCATCCTGTGCTTCTGTGATACCTGCTTGCAGTTCATTCAAGGCTATTCCCTTCCTAGAGTGTCAAAATAGTGAATAAATATGTATGAAATAACAATTCCATAGAATTAGAAGGCGCATCTTCTGCATGCTTTAGAGGCACCTTGTAAAACATCTAAGTGAGAAAAGCCCTCTTGCACTACGTTAAGTGCTTCTCCTGACTACGATGTCAAGCAGAAGTTGGGGCATTTTACAACATGGTTAGATATCAGCAGTGCTGCTCTTTGGTCACCTTGCAAAATGCAAAGTGGAATTCACATAGACACACATCCGAAAAAGAGAAAATGATTACTTGTCTTGTAGTAACTGTTACTCTTTGAGATGCCACACACGTGACCTCTATCTTTGCTCTTTCTCACTGGATGTGAAAATCTCATTCTGAAATAGCTGTGATTTTAAGTCTGGTTGCAACTGTGTGTGCTGATTGTCTTCTGCTGCTGCTGGTGAGTTTATCTTAAGACAGTGCTTGTATGGCAGCAGTACTATGAACACATATATTAAATTTATGGGCTCACGTTCAAATCAAATACGTTCAAGTATATTAAAAAAATGTATTAACATGCAGACATCACTAAAAGCAGATTAAGCCAAACCTTTTTACATCATAATTGTGTGGGAGAGGGAGTTAAGTGTGCACCTTGCTCTTAGCTGATGAGTGGTAATGCATTACATTACCATAGTTCCATTGCTGGAGGTGGTGTGCCAGCCCTGAGGTTTGGATCTGGCACACTAATATTTAGAGTGGAATCAGTGCCAACAAATTCTTGAAGGATCAGAATTATATTGGGTAAGTACCTGTTCTTTCTTTTGCTAAAAAAGGTTTTTGATTTGTTCAGTAATTTTTCTCCACAATTAGACATTGCATACATATTCATGCACATGTCCAATTGAGTTTATTTGTATGGAATGCAGCATTTTAGCTTGCCAAGTATTAGGTTATTTAATCTTTCTTTAAGGTGGGAATCTCTTTAAATACAGTGATAGCTTGGCGACTTCCAGTTCACTGAAAGCTTTTACTTTCCTTCTACTGTGTCAGCAATGGAAGACTTTCCTATCATGCCCTAGAAGTTCTCCAAAAGCACTGCTGTTATTCATTTCTCAAGTCGTGAACAAATAGACTTCAAGCTTTGATCCTACGAAATGGAAATGTATGCTCTGCAATTTAAGGAGACAAAACAAGCTAGAAACATTTGCTCAGAATAAATTTCACAGTTGTATCAGGAATTCAGTCACCGAGTTGGTAGACATAATAGATATTTTTATATGTATGTAGAGACTTAAGTATGCATGATTAAGGTAGCCGTTTCCCAAAGACAATGAGAATGGCAGTGTGATCTATTTCATTTTTCCAGGCCTGAACGGAATAGTAAATAACAGAAAATAACATTGTTTCTTGTTGCAGCCTTTATCCTCATCTCTACTCAAGAGCATACATTAACTTTAGAAATCCTGAGGACATCCTTCTTTTTAGAGATCGCTTTGATGGCTATGTCTTCATTGATAATAAAGGTTGGACTATTTGTAAGATATTACATGTGAATACATACATACCTACATACCATTTTAGAACATTAATTCATTTCATTTTTTATAATTAAGCTTTTTTTTCCCTCAATATACAGTTAATTACATAAAAGTACACTAAAGCAAAATCTGGCTATTTAAAGATAATGAAGTGAAAAATGTATTTGTCCATGCAGTCTTACTTGTCTGCGTGGTGTGCACAATTCATCTGCATTTTTGTAACTCAAGCAGCACATTGTCAGGATCCTATTCATTATCTTATGTGAGCTTCACAATTCATCACAACAGTGACCCAAAACATTGCAAGCACGAGTGGCTGGATTCTTTGGTGTGTTTCTGTGAGATAAAGCAGTGCTATGCATTCCCCTGCTGAGAAAGCAAAACCAAAACCATTGTCCTCACCATTTTGGTTGCACGATATAAGATATGTATGCCTTGACTTTTCAGAGAGCATTTATGTTTGATAGAACCTCAGATGCTTTCAGTCTGATTTCCATAACTGTGTGTGCTTACCTGTATTTGTCGATAAGAGCCTGAACATCTTGAGTTGCAAGCAAAGGAGTGAAGAGATTAGTTGCCGCCTTTGAAATGTTCAGTTTGCAAGTTTGTCCAACAGATCTCTGAAATGTAGGTGTGCATAAATTCTGATCTACAATAGTTTTAAGCAGCCATAGCCAAGAAACAGTGTGTTACTGTAGCTGTTCCTTGCCTCACTCACAGATTCTGTTAAAAATTGCGTGGGTTGTATAAAAAGAAACTTGATTTGTGGGTTTTATTGAACATTGTCTATTTTGTGTGCTGAGTGTTGCAGAGGTCCTGTGAAATAGTCTTGTCTGGTCTTACTGGAGAGAGATTCTCCATTGAAGCTGTCTGCCAAACTAATAAGTATCTCTGCAGCTTTTCCTACCTCAGATATTTCATATGTTTCATCACTCAAAGTGTTCAAGACCAGGTTGGATGGGGCTTTGGGCAACCTGATCTTTGAGGTCCCTTCCAACCCAAACCAGTTAATTCTGTGATAAGCTTCTAACTTGGATTTGGATAGATTTTTCCAAAGGTGGAGAACAGCACATTCCTCACTGTATATGATTGCCAGATTTCAAATTCTGCTGTAAAGTAGGAGACAGGGCAACTCCTTACTAACAGAGTTCCTTAATGTTCATGTTTTATCTTGCCTTCTTCTCTGAAACAGCTGGGTTGTTTTAGCTGAAGTAGAAATAAACTATTTTTATGATTCTGCCAAGACTCCACGTAGTCTAAATTAGGCACATTCCTCAATGTTATGCTGGATTGAAGCCAGAATATTGTGTACACTACAAAACTGAGTTTGGAGACAGATAGTCAGTTTGGCATGGTTGTTTGCAAATACCAAGCCCAAGCTTGGATTGCAAGTGCCTTCTAGTGAAGCTTGTGGCAGTGTTTCATTTATGAGGCTCAAACTAAAATAAGGATTACTAGGTTCAGAATGGTTAACAGATTTAAATCATATTTTCAGTAGACTTGAGCTAAGTGTGGTCTTGAACCTGCATTAAGTGGAAACCAGGCAAAATTCGAAAGCTACACGCTGTCCTCACAGCAATCCAAAGACGATTCCAGGGTGCAAGGCAAAACTCAAAACCAAAGAATCTAGCCAATAAACACAAACTAGAAGTTGTGTAGTTCACCGTAATAGAAAGCAGAAGGAAGAGTTTCACACACTTGTACACTGTGAGTTTTAGAATTCTGAAAGAAGGCAGCATTTCTTTCCACTGTATATTAGCCAGTTGTTTGGTTGGTTGGGTTTTTTTTTTTTAATTTAGATTTCTGGCAACAAAATGTTACAGAAGTTGCTCAGTTGTTTAAAATTCACCTCCCAGTAGTACTTACTCGTTTGTCAGCATGAGATTTGATGTCAGTTTTTTCTATTCAATGGCAATCTTTGAAGAATTGAAAGAGAATTATAAATGATAATGTAAAACTTTTACTGTGCAACAGTACTCGTCTTCATTTTGACAGCTTTTGCTAGCATGTCAAAATAATAATGTAATAATAATAATGTTTAAGAATGTGATTCAAATATTAAAGTATTTTGTTTTGAATCCAAAATACAGCCATGTGCGATTTGTCCTTAGAAATTTAGGATGGGAATTTAGAAACATTCACCTTTGCTTTCAAGTAAGGCTACCCAACGCAGATTTGAAGGGTTTGGAAAACCTTACTTGAATACAAGGGATGCTTCCCAAAACAAAAATTAAGTGATGATCTCTTTTAAGGTTTGGAGTACCCTGCAGTGGTTGAATTTGCTCCATTTCAGAAGATTTCAAAAAAGAAGTTGAAAAAGAAAGATGCCAAGGCTGGGAGCATTGAAGATGGTAAGCATACCTTCATGATGTCACAGTGGAAAATAGATTCCATTTCTGTCGTGTGAAGTACTAACATAGTTCAAAAATTTATCTTCACAGACCCAGAATATAGGAAATTTTTAGAAAGTTACTGTGCTGATGAAGAGAAAATCTGTGCCAATCCTGAGACTCTTTTGGGAGAGATTGAGGCCAAAACAAGGGAACTCATTGGTCTGTTTTCTTGACTTTTCTTATTTTTGAGAATATTTAATATATTATTTTTATATCTTTAAGGTATTACCTGCATGATATGACCTGTTCAATCTGGTAGAGGCTGAGGTTATCACACTTAGAAATCTTATTCCCCAGCCAAGTAGTGAGAGGAAACACCTCTCCTGTTCTTTTGAGGCTCTGTGCACTTGACTTCACCAGAAGTTCTGCATGGGGAGTGGCTTCAGTTAGGTCCTTCGTGCTTCTAAATGCTTACGGTTGTGTTATAAAAAGATGTAAGATTTATTTTCAAAAGATAAAATAGCTAAATGCTTAACAGTTGCTCTCTGACATTAGCTGCTTTTATTGTGAAACATGAAATGACCTCTGTTCTCATGGGCAAGCTTTTGCAAAAGCTTTGAAAGTAAGGCTACGCTTTATTCTCTATATGCATGCAGCATGACTTCCACAGTCTCATGGGGAATCTTTAATAAGATATCGCTGAAATCTTCCTGAACAAATTACATCAAATTTCAATTACAGGTTTCAGCAATATGAATATTACTAATAACACAAATCATGAGTGTGTTGTCAACGAAGGGCAAACTGTGTGCTGTGATCCATATTGCGCTGTATAACAGAAACATGATGCTTTGTCTTCTTTTCAATTCAGTCTTTCAAAGAGTACCTTTATGGGACTGACTTAGTGACTGTAACACTCCACAGCAGTGCCATGCTTTAGATAATTATTTGACTATCAGCAAACATGTAGAAGAAGGCTGTTATTAGAAGATGCACAAAACAGACCTGGAAAGATGTGGGGAAAAAAAAAGCAGATGGGATGAAATGCAGCACTCAGCACAGCAGTGCTGACTGCTCACGTTTTTCTGAGGTTAGAATATCTTAATTGCTAGGACTGTTAGAAAACTGAACTGCATAGAGAAAAATAAAGCTGTTTACGGAGTTTGCAGCACAGACATGAATGATGAGGAGCAGTAAGCATTGCAGGAGGTGGTCACAGGTGATGAAGCCTCCCTATCATCATGCTAAGGGCAAGAAGCCCTGCCCAGCTCTGGCTTGGAGTAGTTCTGCATTTTAGCACATTGTCAGATCTCTTTCAGAACTCTTACATTACTGAGAGAAAATTTTCCTGGTAGGGAAGACCTGTTTTTCATTGTAGATGTGATGTGACCTATGTCTTTTCAAAGCATCTAAATAATAGTGCTACATCACACTGAGAAACACTGATAACTCCACAATACTGGAACTTGGCAGCTGCCAGAACTCAGCTTTCAGGGTAACAGGGATTACTGGTGTGCTGCACCTCTAAGTGACAACCTCTAGAGCACTCACTCTTTCCCCTAGTGTGACAATTTGCTAGGAAAAAAAAACAACCCAAAACCAACCAACCAAAAAACAACTTTTGCTATTATTATTTCTTTATAATTTAAAAGTAGCCTGCTCTTTTGTTTTGTTTTGTTTTTTTGGTCCCTGTGTGTAACAAGCATTTATGCAAAGCAGCATTAGTTTGTCTTCATGTTCATAAATTAATAGCGTGCTGGGAAGATGTGGAACTTCAACAATGTAGAGGAAATGGAAGTTACAGAACTGTGGCCATTTAGCAAATTCTGCTATCAGTAACACTGTGGCTCTTCTCACTATGGAAGTTTCCCCAGTAATTTTTATTTACCCTCAAATCATCCTAGTATTTAAGAGCAGAGCACAAGCACTCAACTTTTTCTAAGAAAGTCTACAGTTTCCAGAAAGATGAACTTAAAAATACTCTGACTCTCAGTGAAGATGATTAGCTTTGAGAGCCACAGATTTCAAAATAACAAAGTTGCCTGAAAGCAGCTTGACACAAGGAATGTTAACAGTCTGTGTGTGTTAAACCACAGAAAATCTAATCAGTTGTTTTTTGCTACCAGTACAAAAACATAGATCACTTCAGTGGATGGCAAGTTTATAGCAAAAGCGTGTGAGACGTTAGGTTATGTGTATGTCTAGTTTCAAAGGTGCTAATAACTACTTAAGTTAATGAAAGATGTGCCCAGGACTTTGTTGGCAGAATTGGGCCTTACATTCTCAGCATTTCTCCAGGTAGCGTTGCTACTGCAAGCCAGCATGGTTTGTGCATCACGTCAGATGCGTTAGCTCCTCAATTTCAGTGTGACAGAGAGGTATAAAACAGAATTTCTCTGTAACAGGATAAAGGTAAGCTCATTCTTCTGGCTTGTTTGTAGAAAGCAAGATAAAATATAAAAGTTGTTGCTGATGGATTTCTTCATTTTGTAATTCGTTTTCTTTCAACATTTCTTAAACGTTTACAGAAAAACCTTAGATTTTTATTTAGAGTAAGGCTTATAAATGAGGGGAGTGTGATTCAAATTTTATTGATATGCATCTTTTTTTATCTTCCTCTTCTGATAGTACTCGTCACACTGCCTCTCTTCTGTGAACTTCCATGTTGCCATTTCTGATCCAACCCCTTGCACTGCAGCCTTAGTTCATGTCTAGAATCAGGTGCTGGACCCCTGGTGTGGCAGATTCTTCCTCATATGTTCTGGTGACAATCTGTGGTCAATTCCAGCGTGGGAATTTACAGGAGCAGGAGAGGGCAGCAGAGCTGCAGATTTGGGAGGCTGGAAGGGAGGACAGTGAGGACCTAAAATTTGTCAGAAATTGAGGGCACATAGGGAAGAAAGAAAAAGCACTGGAAGTATAGGGGTAGAGAGAGGAATATCCCAAACCAGCAAGTCTGTTTTGCTTCTTGCTTTTGAACATTGATATTTGCTAAAGATAAACACTGAATCAAATCAAACTTATTAATTCATAACTTCACAACAAAGTTTTTTTGTTTAGGTTTCTTGTTTGTTTGTTTTTTGCTCTGAAGTTATTTAGATATTCTAAACAAAAACATTCAAATGGTTTTGGGATAGGAGGGTATGTCTGGATTTCGGCTGCGCCATTTTAAATTTGATTGAGAATTCCTTTTTTTTCTTTTCCCTTTTCTGTTCTTTCTTCCAAATCGTATCATTTGCTGTTCTCTTCTGGTTTCAGGAAGAGACTATAAAAATTGTAGAGCATTTTTTAGCTAAGTATTTTCTGTAACATTCTTTTCTGCTCACAGTATGTGGGTTCAAATTTGAATTCAGCGTTGACAATCGTAGGTGCCTTATGTATGATACAAAATTTGATGATGTCTTCAAGCGTCAGTAGAATTTGAGGATGGCTCAGGCAAATGACTTAGGCTTGACTTTGGGGTGTGAAGATAGTTCTGTAACGTAAGAATGGCTGTGTGATCCAGCAAATGATCACCCAAATATGTTATTTGGGAAACCAGAGCTTTGTTGAATCTGTTGACACTTTGTTGTATCCTATATCCTATATCCTATTTATCTTTTATTATTCTTGTTTTTCCATGGAATGGTGAATGCTAAATGGGAGTCTAATGGAAATGTTATATGTGAATGAGAATGTTTCTTTCATAATGTACTTTGAAATTTGGAACTGAAGAGTGATATGTGAGATATGTGGACTGTACATGAACAGCAATCTAACTAGGTTTTGATGTACAGAAGTTAAAGGAGGAATAGATACAGTAGTAGGAATGTGGTAGAATTAGATACTGAACACGGTTATTTTTTTGATGAGCAAGAGAAAAATGCCATTTTCTGAAAATATATGATTTTAAATTTAAAAGTTAAATAATCAAGCAACTTATCTCTGTTGCTTCTTACCCTATCAGCAAAAGAAAAAAACCAACAATCCCAAATAATGTGCTTCTTAAATGGAATGATGGGAACACCATCCATATAAAATAAATAGTTTTATGTATTATTTGGCTCTCTTGCAGATAAAGTTAGAAAGAAGGGATTAGTACTGAAGTAAAGAAATGAGTACATATTTTAGGAGTTGAACACTATATCACAAATTTTTTGTGTTTTAGCTAGAAGAACAACACCCCTTTTGGAATATATTAAAAATAGAAAATTAGAAAAGCAGGTACGTTCAGATTTTTGCCTGAAGTTCAACATTTATGTTTCAAGTGGTTTCCCTTTGGGCAATTCACAATTAATCATTTTGAACTCTTCAGAGAATTCGAGAGGAGAAAAGGGAGGAACGAAGGCGGAGGGAATTGGAGAAGAAGCGTCTGAGAGAAGAAGAGAAAAGGAAACGCAGAGAAGAGGAAAGACGTAAAAGGAAAGAAGCAGAGAAACATAAGAAAATTTCTGACAAAGAGATAAGGATCAAGGTACCTTAACAAAACCAAAGCAAACCTCCTCTGCTGAAGTTACTCAGAAGTTCTTTTGGTTTCAGGCTGTTTATACCGTGTACTACGGTATGGCGTGGTGATAGCAAAGTTGTTTTTACTGGAAGGAGGAATAAAGTAAGGGTTAGGCTGAGCACTGTTGTTGGGAAGCCTGACTGATAACCTTAGATGCAATGATGTGCTAATGCAGTTACAGTGACAGGCAACTGTGAGTATGTCCTTATATAACAATGCCACATTGTGTGCTGACATAACCTGACAGAACCAGATTGCTCTGTGCTAACACATCAGAGCATTAATGCAAATATGGCTTTTAGCTCTTTGTCGTGTAAATCTAGCCCTATGTGCTGAGGGTGTTTTTTGTTTATGCTCAGAACTGGTTTATTTTAATAGTATCCTTTTACCCAGCTATTAAAAATTCTTGTTATAATTTATAAATAAGGATATATTTTAATAATGTTATAATTATACATTAATTTTATAGAATGTGTAAATATTATCATTATTATCATATTATTATCATATTATTATATATGGTGAAGGGCCTGGAGCATCTCTCCTATGAGGAAAGGCTGAGTGAACTGGGTCTGTTCAGCCTTGAGAAAAGAAGACTGAGAGGAGACCTGATGCAGGTCGATAAATATCTAAGGTGTGGGGGGCAGAATGGCGAGGCCAGACTGTTTTCAGTGGTGAGTGGAGACAGGACAAGGGGGAATGGCCAGAAACTGCAGCATAGGAAGTTCTGCACAAATGTGTGAAGGAACTTCTTTACAGTGAGATGACGGAGCACTGGAACAGGCTGCCCAGGGAGGTGGTGGAGTCTCCTTCTCTGGAGATGTTCCAGACCTGCCTGGATGCCTCCCTGTGCGACCTGCTGTAGGGAACCTGCTTTGGCAGGGGGGTTGGACTCGATGATCTCTGGAGGTCCCTTCAACCCCTACAATTCTGTGATTCTGTGATTCTGTGATCATATATAACTGTACTAATTGTATATAGTAACAACATTATATATAATTTCAATGTGTTATATTTTAGCACTCTGAACGGATGTGCTTTTAATGACTTAGATGGATGCATTTTGTGGTATTAAGTCTCCACATTTAAAACCTTCTTTGTATAAGACAAGAAACATAAAAAAAGCCCTATTCACTTCATTTAAATTTGGTGGTGCTGGAAAATTTTGGTAGGTCTTTGATGAGGTAAACTGATGTAAGAATCTGTAGCCTAATACAAGGATGCAGAGATTCACTCCAGATCTTGTGAGGGAGTCAAACCACAAAGCTATGTAGCTTCCTCCTCTTCCTTTTCATCTCAGACAACACTTGCCTCCATCTAAATTTATAGGAACAGCACGTTCTGAAGCAGCTACACTTTTTTCATATTTGTGTGTAAGGGCAAACATTCTAGAACTTCAGAACAAAAGGGACTTGTCCTTTAAGAGATATTCCCCTAAATTTGTTGTCCAAAAAGCCCTAGTATTCCTGATCTGTCATCTATGGGAATGTGACCTTGAAAACTAGTTCTGTCCCTGAGGAAAGGAAAAATACTTGTAGGTTCTCCTAGGTATTGAAGAATAAAAACTTTTCAGGGGAAAAAAAAAAAAAAAAGGTGGAATGAAAAGTTTGTTAGAGATATTCTACTCGTTATTGAAATGTTAGAAGACTACCTTGAGACACTTGGTCCTTCTATAGAGGTTATAGCTGTAACTCTAGATACTGCCCTGTGTGGATTATTTGTTGAGGAATTAATGGAATTCTTGAAAGGTTTAATCTCCAAAGTTACAAAGTAATACAGTATTTCCTGCTAACTCCTTCATTTTCCCTCAGTCTGTATTTTTGTTAAGGTGTATTCATACGAAGCACCAATTTCCACATGCCAGTCAGCCCCGAATAGCATCACACATTTTATTTATAATACTTGAAGGAGTGCACTATTAATCCTGCTCTTTTTGTAGTATTGTAGAGGTTCTGCTTTTATTTTATTGGCAATGACGTTGAGCTCTGTTGTTACATGATTTCTAAGAAATCATTGACTATACATAAAACTCAGGAGAGAAGAGTAGGTAAGTGCTTTCTCCAATATTCTTGACAAATTCAAAGCATGCTGGTGAATGCCTGTTAGTGACTGCACCTCCTTACCAAAAGGAAACTGCTGTTCAGAAAATAACTATTAAAAATATATACTTTATAAAAGGTATTCACAGCATTTAATAAGATATCTTAAATCTGAACAGGTCGTTGTTATATTCAATACGTTGTTAAAATGTCCGTTATATAAAGATAATAACTTTATGTCATAACATAAACAAATATTTCTAGCTTCTTAAGAAGCCTGAAAAAGGAGATGAGCCAGCCAGTGAGAGGCACAAAGAAAAAGATGAAGAAGCTGACACTGAAGAAAACAAGTGGGATAAGTCTCCTGGACCTGGGAGTATAAGATCCAAGTCGTTGGAAGGTTCATTAAAAGAGCTTAAGGAGAAGTAAGTGTTTATCTTAGAGACTCGAAATTAGTTCCAAAAATCTTTGATTTGAAGGCTTAGCCAGGATGTAAGAGCTTGGTTGGGTGTTCGTCAGAAGGGAGCTGATTTCATTTTGCATGTGTGTGAATCTCTCACTGTCCTTTTTGTAAAAGGTGTTTAGTAACAGCTTACTGACCTGATGGTAGTAATAGTGGATGCAGTTTGTTATTTGTGAAATACTTTGAACTCCCAGATTGGAAGGATTTCTGCATGAAAAGTAATTGAGAGTTTCATTCTTATTTCACCCATTCCATCAAGAGCTTGGGTAAAGCCCCGTTTCCATTACCGATGTCAAAGTCTAAACTGCCTCCAGTCTTCTCTTTTCATCACACCTTCTTTATTTTCACTGCAAAAAGCAGATGATTGTGTTTGATTTGGGACACTGGCAAAATAGTGGAGGTAATAGTTGCAGAAGGCTGTCTCTGTCTCTCACTGCCTTTTATGTAGCATACGCAATAGTGGGAACGAGGTATAGCTCACTTCTGTAGCTACTGTATACTCAAAGTGTGTTGAAGTGTTTAGCAGCTGATTCTCTCTTCTATTCTTTGGTGTCTGTGTCCCACTGTGAGCAGGATTCACCCAAGAGAGCTGTAATGTAAGAGTAATGTTGCTAAGATAAATAACACTTTTCCAAATGTGTTCTCCACTGAGCTCTCAAAAAAAGTACTTTGCAAAATGAAAGAGCTGCATCTGAGATGTCATGTGTGTGTGTAACTTGTACATATGGGTGAACACAGCATTTAAGTAGCTTACCTAAGGTTGTATATGTGATGTGTCAGAGAAAGATCAGGACTGCGCTGTAGGAGGCTGAGTACTTTAAATGTGACCATTCTCCTCATAGCTTATTGAGTTTTGTGAAGAGCATACATGAGCTGGAAATGTTCTCATAAAAGCAAACAGAAAAGTAAAGAACTGTAAACAATGGAAAACAAACCCAACAAATTTGCTAAGTAAAACACTTGATTCACCCGTGATATTTTACATATATTGCTCATCTCTTTTATCTGTGAGCAGGGACCTGAAACATGGGCTCAAAGTTTCAGCATGCCGTGTTCTGAAAGGTCCTGAAAGGTGCTGAAAACTTCCATTCTCTGGTGGAAAATGAACATATTCAGGAAATCTTGAGTTGATGTTCTTCAGCAAAGGAAAAACAGGACAGGAAAAGTGCCCAAAAATGCTCGTAGGGGCAAGTCAATTTTTTGCTAGTAAGGCTTTTTATGGACTAAGCTTTATGTTCTGCCATATAGCATTTTTAGTATTGATCCTGTGAATTTAACAGGGCATCAGTATAGCTTTTCCAAGTGTAAAAGAGAATCCTTTTGGCTGTGCATGTACACTAAGTTACCTTGTCTTTCCAAGTGCTTGCTTCATCATGACTATTGATTATTAGGGTTAATAGATACTGTGTTATTGACACAGAAATAAACCAGAACTTGGAACTCTACGTAAGGGGCTGATTTAAGGCTTGCTAGCTATAGCTTTCTACATTTACTTTGTAATCAAGTTATTGCTTATCCCTTTGTTTCCACTCCTCTTCCCTATGACTGAACTGTAGAAAGCTGCTCCGGCCGCACTGCAGCTGGGGTCTGTCTCCCTCTCACTGGGCACAAGTTTTCCTCCATCACTTGCAGGAGGAGATAGCAGGGCACTGGAAAGCACTGCAGCAGCGAATCTGGGTGTGCCCCCTGTCTTTGGACATGACACACTGCAGAGCCTTGCTAGGACCTTCCTCCTTCAATTTTAAGCATTCAAATGTATGAAACATACAAAAAGAAACTACCCATATTTGCTGCTTTTAAAATTTAATCTGCTCTGTAATCTTCCTTCATTATTTACAGTTTTGTTTTATGAGAGAAGTGCGTGCTTGCTGAACTGGAACAGTGAAGTGAATGGGAGAGCTGAGAGTTGTATCAGACAGGCAGCAAAATGTTGCAAACTAAGAGTCTTTATAATATAAACCCATTGCAGCAGAGCATACATTTAAGTATTACGTTGTGATAAGGTAATGATGCCCAACAAACAGAAATATTAAGTTAGGCAAAAGTGTTTGGAGACAAAATAAATGCTGGGAACGCAAGCATTTGTTTTTACAAATACCTCCTCAAAGATCCAGTGTTTGTCAGTGAATAATTTTTGCTAATAAATGGTTGTGCAGGATGTGCACAGTTCCTTTGGGCACTGAATGCTTCCTTTCAAGGCAGCACTCTTGTCCATAGGTACAGCTCTTCTCAAGAGCGGCCGCAAGACCTGGTGATGCAGCACAGGGTAATGTGAGGAGCACTGGGGAACCACGTAAGGGATTGCAGTGGGGGATAAAGGTTGGAGCAGAGGCCTCCCACAGCAGGTGCACAAAAACCAGATTTTGCTTGCAAAGTTTTATCTGCTACTTTCTGAACTTAGTGCGTCATGGAGAGCTGGATATACATAAGTGAGACATTCAGCAAAATTGCACGTAACTCTTCTTTATTAAAGGAAAAAGCCTTCATACATAACTGACCTAAAGACTGTTGAAGACAAAATGAAGCTTTGTATTCCATATGTCAATAGCTTTTTTTTTTTTTTAAGCTGTTTATTGCTTGGATTTCCTTTCTTTTTCTACACTCTTATAGGTCACAAAATGATAGTGACAAAGAGCAAAGAGATTTGGAGAGAAGATTTCGAGAAAAAGAACCTGAAAGGCAAAGGTATCGACTGGATGATGGCAGAAAGCATAGAACTCATTATGAGTTTGACAAGTTTGTGAGAAGGACTGAAGAAGAGCTGAAATGGGGGAAAGGATACAACCAAGACAGAGGAAAGAAAGGGAACCACAACTACAGCTTCACTGTGGAGGCAGTAGACAAACTGGGTAAAGAGGACAAGTGTGATGACATGGCATCCAAAAAGGAGCGCATAAGAAATAAGGTTCTTTTATTCATTTAGGATAATTTTTCATTAGTTAAATATGCTTCAAGATCACAGGTTTTTCTTTTGCAAACTTAGCATAAAGATGCTTTTTTTTAAAAAAAAAAAGACAGAACAATTCTTTATTTCATTTTCAGTAAAACCCCAACTTCTTTTTATTGCCGTCAAAGAACAACAGCAGTTAAAATAAGTTACAGTCACAGGTCTCTGCTGATTTGTATGTACCATATTCAACAATACTTTCTGTCTTACTTTCAATCCTAGCATTTTTAGAATGCTATTCTTGGAAGCCTTGCATTTTATGAGCCTATTAAAAACTGTTACACTTCTAGTTTGCAATGAAACTCAACAACTGTGGCATGCTCATCTCTGTGTTTCCATTACCCTGCCCATAAAGCCCTTACAATTGGCCAGGACATCACTAAGGACATAACGTGAGTAGTGACTTATCTAAATAGCTAATTCAGAAAGTATTTAGGTATGTAGAAGGTATTTAGAGGAATGTGCCATTTCTTCAATATTGTATACCTGTCTGTTGGAGAAGGATGTTGTTTGCTTAGGATTTGTGCTCAATGTCAGGGAAAGAACAGGTGCAAAACCAGTGCAAATGGGGCTGGTAGCAGGGTGTGTAGCAGAGCTGTCCCTCCTCATCTCCCAGGGACACGGGCATCGTTTTTCTCAGGCTCTGATTTCATGGATGTGCCAGAGTCTTTTCAGGAGGTGGTTATCCTTGTCAACCTCATTCTCTATCTGTTCTGGTCCTAGATTTTCTGCACAAGATGACTGAAACATTATTTTGTGTAGAAATTTATTCAGCATGTGAATCTCTTCTTTCAAACCAAATTCCTGATACGGGTTGGGGGCGAGAGCTGCCAAGGAGTGAGCTGGTCACGTGTGGCATGAGTCCATATGGATCACATACAAAGCTGGCCCGGCTGGACTCACTGTGCAAGCCGTGTGGGTCAGTTTGTGGGAAGAAAAAAAGGGCTGTTTTAAAATAGGCTGCTTATTTTGTTTGCAAAGCTTAATGTAAGAATTTGATCAAATAGCTGTGGTTGTGGTGAATGGGTTGCTCCATAACATTAAAAACTGGTATTTGCATGAGTAAAATAAACAGTCTACTAGGAAAAGACTTCTTAAGCAGCGTTTCTGTAATACATTTTGTTCTTGAAATTTCAAGAATAAAAAGCACTCGCAAGAGCTGTGGAACTTCCCTGTTTGCAGGCTCAAGGTCTCTTTTCCTCTTTTTCTCCCATTTCCCAGTGGTCAAATCAGTGTTGTTGGGTCACACATGTGACTGAGTCAGCAGCACTGAACACATTCAGATGAGGATAATTTTCTAGCTGTTATCTGCTAATGGGCCTACTGGTTTGTCTCATTTCATTGTGCTTATAGTTAATATTTGTCACTCATCTGCCAAGTTGCAAGTGTGCAGGCTGTCATTTCTGATTGCTGCTGGTGAAAGTAGCAACATATTTCAAAGTTTTACCTAGGCATGCATAGTAGTACTGTGTTTGATTACAGCCAGCAGTATTTCTCCTTGTTTATGTCAAATGTGTCATAAGATCTTTCCTTTTTACAGCTTTCTTCACTTATTCAAAATGCTTGGCTTTCAAGAATAGTGTTGTAAGCAACACAGATATTAAATACTCAGTTGATTTTCATTACACTTCATTTTTCCCCAGCTCTTACAATACATGAAGTAATTTAACACAAAATCTGCTTTCTTCACAAAAACTAATCTCTTTAAAACCCCACCTGTGTATCCCACACAGGTTTCTCAGAGAGTTAACCTCATCTGCTCCCCCCTAGGATCGCCCAGCCATGCAGCTGTACCAGCCAGGGGCTCGCATCCGAACGCATACGGGATCCACGAGTAAAGCCTACGACTGCAGTGGGAAGTCTTCTGAAGAAGCTCTTGACAAAAAATACGAGGTGGATAACTCAGTGGGAGGTGGCTCTGAGAAGAGTGAGGAAGCAGAATAAAACAAACTGGAGGAAAGACTTGTGGAAAGGGATGAACTTCAGATTCAACATCGCCACATAGAGCTGTTTCAGAAGCCCAACATCAACAAAAGTGTCATAGCTTTCTCTTACTTCCTCTGAAATAAAGGAAAGAGTGACTGGAGATGTATAAAGTATCTTACAACAAAGGGATATGATTGCTTTTTTACATAAAGCAGAGCGAACACCATTTGCCCAATGTAAAAGCAGTCTGATGTTTTATTAGATTCACCTTGAGATATCAAATCTCTAATAGTTTTAAAGGAATATTTATAGAAAACCTCAGAAGCGATCTCACCTTTCCAAGTCTAAAGAAACAAAATGTGGATTTGTGTCATTGTGAGGCCTGAAGCACTTCCAGTGTGTCTGGTGCCTGGCAGTCCCAGAGCCCCCTCCTGCACACGGTGGTGCTGCCCAGCGCTGTGCAGCCCGGGGAGCTCTGCAGCCAGCAGTGTGTGCAGGGCACAGGAATGGCAGTGGGTGTCTGTATGTACCTCGTTGTGTTCACATTGTTTTTCAATTAACTACAGCGTCTAACAAGTGTTAGTAAAGCTACAAGTGTGTTGTTAGAGTGTTTGTCATTTTTGGAGCCACTTCTGCCTTTTATGTTTTAATGGATTCTTGTACTTGAAGCAGAAAAAAGCTAACACAAACCTCAGCACTTAAACAGTGCGTCTGGTTTTCTTAAATTAGCTGGGTTTTTTTTATGGTTTTGACACTGACTTTTCAAAAAGTGATTGTACAGTGATGACCTTTTATATGCTGATGTTTGATGTGAGTTGCGGTTGCAGGATCTGGACAATGTGAGACACGTGAGAGTTCGATCTGTTTGAAGAAAAACAAACACGAGTGTCAGCTGCAAAGTCCCATTTTGTAAGATCCAAGTCAGATTCTGCCCTCTGATGCAGACACATACATATGTGTGTGTGTATATATATATTTACAGTGTTTCCATCGGTTTCAACAACAGCTGCATGTTTATGGAAGGGCAAAACTCACTCATCTTTTACAGCTGAAAGTTTCACAGTCATCCGAAACTGAGACCTGCTGTGTTGATTAAGTTAATTGTAAGACATTCATTTATTTTTTACATCCTCTTGGAGCATTTTGTTAAGCATAACATTTAGTTGTTCTAGAACTGAAAAATTATTGATTGTATTTTCCAAGATATTAAGCATTACGTGAATAAAAGCAACAAGATTTTCACTATGATTTTAAGAACTGATCTTCTGTAGTTTGTTTGTTTTTTTTTTGTCTGTACTCTGAAAAAAACATAAGTAGAATGCTATGCTACTCAGTATTCCTCAGAAACAGATAAAAATAGCATTGAGAAGAATTTTAATATCAAACTATGTAAGTGAGAGGCCAACTAAAACTACTTCAAAGCTTAAGTGAAACAACTGTTGGAAAACCATTTGGTTTTATCTTCATCTAAAGTTTATCTTGTTCACCAGGTTTATTCTGTCTGCTGAGAAGTGATTTGAGCTCAGCTTCCTGGCTGTGTGAAAGAGCCTGACTTGGTCTGAAAAGGAGACCTAACCAGGACAGTTCTGCAGTAGAGGCAGACAGGGTTCAATGGATTGGGGTCTGTGTAAAAGCAATCATTTGCAACCCATTGAGGTGCCCAGGGGACGTGGGCAGAGCTGTGCTGGCTCAAGGAGGGGTCTTGTTTGTGAGAGGAATCTGTAAGAGCAAGAGAAATAGAGCTTGTGCACATGCTCACGTGCTTGGTATTTTTGGCCAAAGGTGGCTACCAGGCTACTTTCTCACTATCCCATGCGTGCTTGGGCTATAAGTATCTCTTGGTGGCATTATAGGTGAGGAACTAAATAGCTTCTGTAGCAGTAAACTTCCACTTGAGGACTTGCCACATTTTAGTTACCAAAGATTGGACTTGAAAGCTTGGCTCAGTAAAAACTGTCAGGGCTTCAACATTCACGTATTTCGGGTAAAGCTGTCACCCCCTCACTAACTAGGACACCTGCATCCCGTCTGACTGCAGGGAAGCTGGCCTTGGGTTTACACATCTGCACAGACAGGGTATCCAGAACATTGATATTCACAGGGAAAGCCAGGCAGGAGGAGCTGCCACCTGCTCAGTGCTTGCTCTTTTTCCTATGCGCCTCCTGATGACACAAAATAAATGCAGGCTTGCAGCCCGTCTTTGTACAGAGTCACTGTGGCGTGAGAGCTTTATTTCCACAATAGCAACTTTGTTTTGCAAATTCAGCTTTGCTGAAAGTAGATCCGGCTTCCCTGAGAAACGGGAATTGTATCTAGTTGCATCACAGCTGATTTCGGTGCCATCTGCTTCTTTGTTTTTACAGTATAGCGCTCTCTTCTTTAATACAAATCTTCACCACCTTGATAGCCTCCCTCAATTTCTGTTGTCCTATTTCTTACTGGATTCCAAGGTCATCAGAATTTTGCAATATGGAAATCACCTTGTCTGTCAAGATGGAGTTAGGCTCCATTCTGTCATGATCTATTGTGTCAAAGGAAACGGATGCGGGATATAAATATTCAGTAAAAAAATCTGCACTCACGCCTGTAGCAGTTGTCAAGAGCAGGCAATTCAGTTCCCAAACATCATTCTGCCAATTTCAGATTCCATTTTTAAACACATTCTGCTGTTTATTTTTAATAAAAAACAAATGGCTACGAGCCATTTCCAGAAAGTCTTGGGAGATACGTGGCTTACTTCTTCACGCTGCGTGCACGGTTTGGGCTGGAAGATTTTCCCCAGAGAATAGGAGCAGAGCAACAAGCCTTAGCTTGCTGTCATGTGCCTTTGCATAAAGAGCTGGGAGCTGATGACAAGTGACCACTCCGACATCCACGTCTTGTATTCAAAAGGAAATGAACCTAAAAAGCATGCAGGTGCCCCATCTGTGGTGCCAGCCTGTTCCCGTTGTACCTACAGAGAGAGAGCACGGACACTTAGCCACGAGTGCTGACAAAACATGCTGCCTCCGTGTGGGCTGTGAGGTATGACGGATCACTGCTAAATGCCACCTGATGTTACAGCAGATCAGGGAGACAACTACCAGCCCTTCTGAAAACACTGCACGTTTTGGTTAATGTTTTTTGGTTAATGTTTTAGCACTGCTGAGGTTTGTATGTGGATTCTATCTGAAAGTGAGAGCAGAAGCTTTTGTTTTGGAGGTCTTGCGGTTTTCCCCACACTGTAAGCCAGAGATCCTCAGGTGGCAAACGATGATAACTGCTGTATAAAACACATATAAAACATGGAGTGGACACATTCTCTTCTCAAAAAAGACCCAAACCAAACAGCCAATAAACAGACAAAATCAATGACGGAGCTCCTTTAAAGGAGAGGAATTAAACTCTTGTGTCTGAGTTGCTTTTAAAAATATCCTCGTGCCAAAAGACTTAGAAAAGAAAGCCAATTACTGCTGTCACCCAGCTCTCAGTTATTTAATTTCTTAATTAACTTTGTGTTTAACTTTGTGCTATTATGACTTTTTTCGTATGTGCACTGTTCTATGATGTGCTATTGTTCAAACAAAAACCACAGAGGACTTTCAAAAACCAGAAGAAGGGAAGTATCACAGAACTTCACGCTTGAAAAAGAAATGTAAATTTATGCTTTCTCTGGAGAAACATTTCCCATCAGAATCGTGCTCAGCAGGCAGGAAGGAGCATTCAGTATGAATTACAGCATTTAAATTATGTCACTTTTCAAAATATCTTTTGCCATTACTATAAAGTCAGAGCTGTCTGACAGATTCCCAGCATGCTGAGCAGCTCTAACAACAACAGAGATTTTCATTTCCAGAAGTGTAACAGTGCAATAAACTTTTTCTACTTACTGGCATTAGTGCATGCTTGAGAGCATGCCTGCATCTGGGCATCCTCACCTCTGCACCAGCGATGGAGATGCAGTGGAAGCCTTTGCTGGGTGAGGGGACTGACAGCAGAGCTCAAGATGGGTCTCCTGTGGTGAGGACACCACCACGCTCATTCCTCCTAACCTGTACACAGCAACACCAAACCTGTCTGCCAAGAGTGCTTCATCTCAGTCCTGGCAGGCTGTCCTTTCTCCCAGTTTTCTGGGACAAAGCTTTCTGTAATGCAAGTGTGAAAAGATATAATTGTTCAAATTATGTTTGTTAGTTATGGAAACTTTGAGCCAAATATTCATGGGGATGGCAGAAAGTATTTTTACAGTATTTTCTTGACTGAAGTTACGGTAAGAAGCTCCATGTGTCAAATGTTTCTTTTTTTCCCCTGAATTTTATCCTTAGAAAATATTTTTAAGATATGTTTTTAAGAGATCAGTATGAAACTACGAGATTGATAGGATAAAGCTAGTTCTGTGCAGAGCTCGGCTCCACCAAGCATGCACTAAGCCATCACTCAGTCCCAGTGACAGGAAAGGGCTTCACACAGCCCTCTGTCTGAACACAAGGCCCAGTGGACAGCCAGCACCTGGTTTTGGTGGTTCAAGTTCAACTGGCACTATGCTGAGGATCTTTAAAGCAGAAATCAGCCTGCAACATGGCTGAAGAGATACTGATGGGTACTGCCTTTTGTGGATGACCTATCAAAGGATTTAAGACTTTGAACAGAAAAAGATGATATGTTTCTCACCCATAGATTTATTCTCATTTACTCTTAAAATATCCTTACACCCAACTTGTTTGCTGATAGTACTCAGGTGACAATGTCACAGATTTCCCTACTAACATCCCAAGTCATTTTTCCCTGAATAAAATCAATACATCAAAGCTGGTAGTAATACAACCTTAAAGTTTGGACTGTAACTTTTATTCCTCCTTATGTCTGGACATGTGAGATTCTTTCATTCAGTGTGGTGATGGCATGTGGCAGCTCTTCACAGAGACTCTCATTCTTACTGCTATAAATAAACATTACCAAAAGACCTTGTTACTTCATTGCTACTGAAATTTGCATCCAAGATACAGTAGCCCAAAACCTTTGGCAAAAGACCAACAATTTATTCAGAAGCACTAGACTAAGATCCAACGGTCAGGAGATTTTAAAAGGAAAGAAAGGTACTACAGGGTTTACTTTCTGGACAGGACCTCTTACCTCAGCTGCTATTCTATGATTCTATGAAATATTTATATTAAAATGTTGGCAAAATAAATAACAAAGTGGTTTTGGAAGGGGCAGAACTAAACACAGCTACACAAATACTGTGAATCATAGAATCTCTGAGGTTGGAAAAGACCTTAAAGATCATGGAGTCCAACCACAAGCTAACCATCCTACCCTAACTCTAACAGCCCTCCGCTAAATCATGTCCCTGAGCACCACATCCAAACGGTTTTTAAACACATCCAGGGATGGTGACTCCACCACCTCCCTGGGGAGCCAATTCCAGTGCTTAACAGCCCTTTCTGTACCGGTGTTTCCTGACAGAAAGCTGTATTTCACTGGCCAAACAAAGCTTCACCTAGCGCTGTTTTAGCAAGAGTAGGTTTCACACAGAAGTGCCTTTCTGAGCATTGTAGAGGACAGCAGAACACAGACGGGCTGAGCGAGTGTCCCAGCACGACAGCTGACATGGGACATCTGCCTGCTGGCTTGAAGAAGGGTACCGAATTGACAAAGGGAACGCGACTTTTCCGAATTAAACACAATCTTTGCAGGCGTCACTGTAAACGAGAGATTCGCCCCTTAATACAATTTAGATCTGTAATTTAATATAACACGGCAAGATGCGGACCGGAGAAACCCCGCACGCCGTCCCGCAGGTGACCGCCCCACTGCCGCCTCAGCCGCCTCCCGCCTCCTCAGCGGCCCCTCCACGGGCCGAGCTGCGCCGCTCCGCCTCACGGCGGCACCACGTGACCGACGCCGCGCGCCGCCCGCCCGTCACGGCTAGGGAAGGCGGGAGGCCGCTAGGGGCGGGGCCACGAGCGGAGCCGGCGCTTCCGGTTGGGTGGCGGGCGGGCCCGGGGGGGCGGTGAGGCGGCCGCCATTCGGCCGCGCGCCTCCTCCCGGCGCCCCCCCACGTCCCCCTGCCCCCTCCTCCTCCTGCTCTTCCTCCTCCCCGCCCCTCGCACGGCCTGAGCCCGCCAGCGCCGCCGGCCCGGCCCGGCCCGCCGCCTCCTTCCCTGGGCTGTGCCCGGCCGCTGGAGGTGCTTCGGCGGTGAGTGCGGTCGGAGGGGCGGCCCTCCCCGGCGCCGAGCGGCCTCCTCTCCTCCCGGGCGGCGGGCCGAGGCCTTCCCCTCC